TGTAGAACTCTCATGAGACCTTAACTAGATCCCTTACAGAGGTCGGCCCCTCACCTTCTTGCGAGCTTTATTCCTATTATGCTTCTTACTCTTACGCTTATTTCCTAATATTCTTAAACAAGATCATATTCGAGTTATTTAGGCAAACAAGGGAAAGTACGGAATATCCCACTTGCCCCCCCCCCCCTACTTTCAGGTGATAATTAAGGGCTTTGCCTAGTTCCTGACCTTCAAGTTTGTAGAGGCTTTCCTGTCCAAGCTCTATTCTGCTCGCAGGGAAAGCCCTAAACCCTGCTCAGCCGACTAAGCCTCTGTGAAGCTTCCTGTTCGGGGCGGGTGGAGAGGAGGAGGCCACTGTGGTTCTATGTGTGCTCTTGGTAATGTGGGGGCCTTGATAGTTAGAATAAGGGTTTGGGGAATATATACAATAACTATAGCTAGGTAATTATTAAGTCCCCTACATTGGGGTGTTCGCAGGCGGCTTCTTGGAGTGGTCAATAAAGAAGCCCTAACAACCAGAGCAACCTTGTGCGAGCAATTATGGTATAAGTATGCATAAGGACCTACTACTCGTACTACTACTACTACTACTACTACTACTACTACTACTACTACCACCACCACCCTAAACCCTAAACCCTAAACCCTATACCACCACCACCACCACCACCACTACTCTTACTCATTCTTCAGAGCTCTATAGTGGGATTCCACAGGCTAGGACCAGACTGGGGCGCGACAGAGCGTATGCTTGGGACGGTCAGGCTGCCCTTCTGAACTGTAGGGCATAGCGTATCGGGTTTAGGGTTTAGGGTTTAAGGTTTAGGGTTTAGGGCTTAGCCAGGGTTTGGGTCTCTAGCATTTACAAGAATAAGACCGCGTGTCCAAGCAGCACGTGTTCACAGTTGCGTGTGTCATTGCTGCTGCTAGTCTTACGACGACGAAAACGGCTACGACCACTCCCATGAGCCTTAGCGTTGTCTTTGCTGCTTCTTCTTCGCCTTCTTCTCGCTCCTTCTGTTCCGGCCCCCTCGTGTCAACATGAAATATCAGAGCGGTAATATCAGAACGTAAGATCCAGCGCAAGCTCGGGGTTCAGGGTTTTGGGGTTTAAAGGTTCAGGGTTTTGGGCCCTGCAGGGCTCAGGGTTTACTTAGGATTCCACGGAATGCTGCGGGCTTCTCGCCCATTTTTGCCACCTGTCCACAGCTTCGCAGACGTTTGGGGGGGATGTTGGGTTTTGGGTCCTCGATACGCCTTATAGGGTTTAGGATTTTTTCTGTGCAGCGACGGTGAAGGCTGCCGAGTTATGAGGTTCTCATAGGTGCGAAAACGGTGTGTAGTACCAACTTCCTCCCTAGCCCCCATTCCCCAAACCTGGAACACAAAGGAACTCTTTTCACCGAAAGACCGTGTTAGTGTAACAACCCTTGGAAACCCCAACAGTTCAAACTCTGAAATAGGTAGAGCAGGGCGTTGACAATTGAATCCACACACCACATGAATAGAGAGCGCTAAGCTACGGTTTAAGGTTTCAGCAAGGAGTCTTATTGACTAGTCAGGCCCCTATATTACATCTCCAGCATTATTCCTTACTTGCCCAGTATCCCAGACGAACTAAAGGTTAGCCTTGGAACTTTATAGGAACTATCGTGCCCAAAATCGCTAAACATCACCACTAGTAAGATTCCCTAAACACTAAACCCCTAAACCCCTAAATCCTAAGCCCTATAAGCCCTAAACCCACTAGTGAGATTCCCTAAGCTCTAAACCCACTATGTAGTGAGAAAGATAGTAGTGAGAAAGACCTAAACCCCTAACCCGTAAATCCTAAGCCCTATAAGCCCTAAACCCTAAACCCTAAACCCTAAACCCTAAACCCTAAACCCTAGTGAGAAAGAGTCCCTGAGCAGCTGGCGGGCTCCAGGAGGAAGAGTCCGCCGAAGAGCCGGGCCTCTCTCGCTCTTCCATTGGTCCAGTTACGGTTTTTTTTTTTAGGGTTTAGGGTTTAGGGTTTAGGGTTTGGGGTTTAGGGTTTAGGGAACCTGTCCCTTTTTTTTGGGTTCCTTATTGTGGGGTTCCTTCACAAGTCCTTCAACAAAAATGTAGGGTTTATCTGGGGTTCAGGTACCCTTATAGAAGCCGTATCGAAAGCCTTAGGGTAGGGTTAGGGCAGGGTTCAGGGTTGAGGATTGTTAGTTGAGGGTGCCAAACGGGAGGAAGCCTGCAAAAGCAGAGTCGGGTTTTACAGGTTAGGGCCTAGGGCTTTACAGTGTGGGGTTTAGGGTTTAGGGTTTAGGGCTTTACAGTTTGGGAGTTAGGGTTTAGGGATTCTGTAAGACAATAAGGGATACTTGCCCTAATCATTGGGGCCCCTGCGCTTTGGTGTTTAGGGTAGGGCGTGTGATTCAGACTCTTTTAGGGGTATAGCATTTTGGGCCGCAAAGAGACTTGAGTCTGGTGTTTGAAGGTTCCCAAAGGTTATAGATTAGAGTGGGCTTAAACCCTAAACCCCTAAACCCCTAAACCCTAAACCCGTAAACACCTGAGCTTAGATAGCTTAGGCCTTAGACCCTCAGTCCTACAACCAAAGGGCCTTGGTGTAGGGTTTGGAGCTCGAGGTCTGGGGTGTCTTGTACTATGGGCGGATCGGAACTATACCAGGGGACACGATTTAAGTCTAGGGTTTAGGGTTTAGGGTCTAGGGTCTAGGGTCTAGGGTGTAGGGTTTAGGGTTTAGGGTTGCTGCAGCATATGATATTGCGGCCCATATCATGAAGACCCCGCCTGGGAAACAAGGAGCTCATAGCGGGCCGTGTCCACCACCATGGCTGCCTCCCGCAAGCAAAGAGGGCGCCAAAAAACAAATAATTCAGGGTTTACCCAGAGGCCCCATAGTAGTCCCGTTTTGGGATTCCCTAATAGGATTCTAAATATGAACCCCAAAAAGGAACTACTTTAGGGCCTATGGGTTTAGGCTGTAGGGCTGAAGGCTGCAAATACCAAAAAAACAAGGCTCGGGTTACAAACTGCCGGCACGTTCGGGCTTAAACCCTGAATCGCCGTTGACACCGAACTCCCTGAGCCTCTAAACTCTACCTCTTTTTCAGCATGGGCTTGGAACTCTGAACACCTCACATGTATAGAACGATTTAGAGATTCCGATAACACCCGTCTAGCAGGGATCCAGAAACGTTACGAGCCGCGAGCCGCGAAGTGACCACGATGCTGGCTCGTGATGTGCCGAAAGAGATTTACAGCATGAGTGCTGGAGCATGGCAGTGTTGCTCTCGTGTTGCTGGTGCCGGTGCCGTTGCCACTGCCGTTGCTGCTGCTTTTGATGATGTTATTGATGCTGTCTGGGGTGGCAGTGAGGTGGTCGTGGTGGTGGTTGTGGTGGAGCCTCTGATGGATCACTATGGTTTACTTTGTCGTTGTTGTTGATCCTTTGTAGCATTCACACTGCAGTACATGAGCTGGGGTGTGGTGAACCCAAGCGTTTACGGCTTCGGTCGGCCTGCTTATCCTCCAGCTCGATAAACTTCTCATCCAAAACCTGGCATAGAACACAAGGGCACCAACCAACTTGTTCATAATTGGTTAACATCACCACTGTCATCAAGACTGCTGTCTTGTATGTCATCATCATCGTCATCATCATCATCATCATCATCCATAGTGCGTCGCCTGCAGCAGCAACACTTCGACCAGTGCAAGCATCGTCTGCCTCACAGCCATAAAGGCAATCATGACGACGAGTACTGTTCCCAGCTGCGCTTGGGTGGTATTTCTGTTGGTCGTGGTCGGTACACTGCACGTCACAGTATTGTGAAGTTGATGCACTTTGCAGTCCTCAGTTCTGCAGACTTCGCTGCGCCTCCTCGTGCTCAGCACCTGTGCTTCACAGCCTTTCGTTGCTCAGCTTGTATGTGCCGCCCGTGCCGCCTGGAACCCCTGACTGCCTTGATCAATCCGCTACAGGGCTTTAAGTGCCAGAAACAGAAGATATTCTGCAACTGAAGCTCAGAATACGATCTTGGTCCGACTTGGGCGCAGCACGATCACAAGTTCCTGCGAGCCCTAAACCCTAAACCCTTGAAGGAAGTCTTAAAGAAGCCCTAAGCCAAGCCTGCTGGAAGCTGAGCGGCTCCTCTGCGGTCAGGGTTTAGGGTTTAGGGTTTTCCGTTAAGGGTTTAGGGTTTAGGGGTGTCCTTTAAGGGTTTAGGGTGTAGGTTCTTTAAGGGTTTAGGGTTTCCTTGAAGGGTGGAGTGTTAGTAGACAGGGTTTCGGGTTTGCTCATGTACAGTGACGGGTTTCAAAACGAATTACAGGCTACATGGCACCGAGTGTGACATCAGAACTCATCGCTCAAATCTCGGGTGTCCCTTATACGGATTATCAGGGATCTCATGGGCTCTTTAACCCGAAGTCTATGATCCTTACTTGCTTGTTCCGATGCTTATTTATGGCCCCATCGCGTGGGAGCGGACTCAAATGGGCCCCAAGCACTCACATTGCAAGATACTTTGGGGGTTTAGGGTTACTTAGGGGTTTTAGGGTTTGGGGATCACCCTGATCCCTAAACCCTACTAAAGAGAGAAACGAAAGGCCGGGGCCGGCATTGTCCTGCAGCTGAAGTGCTGCGATGATGTTCCCCGTGCCGTTGCCGGTGAAGCAAGTTCGAAACCTGTTGGAAGGATTGCTTACTTAGGCCAAAAACATACAGGGCTTAATCGTTACAAAAAAAAAGGTTGTTGAAGTATTATACTGAATGCTATAATATAAATAGAGAGTAAGGAACCCTAAGGAATAGAATTACAGACCCTTCAGACCCCGATACTACAAGAGACCCGGTACTTCCAAGGCCCCAAGCCGCTTCAGCACAGCTCCAGGTCTGCTAATTGGGTGGGGCACGATGGACGCCCGGGCATGCAAAACACACAGACCGTCAAGCCCTAAACACTAACCTTTAAGCTCAGTACCCTGGCCCAAAAAAGTTTAAACTTTTGTTTTAGTAGGGGGCTTAGTATACCAAAAAGTTTAAAGTTTACCTACTGGGCTCCTAAGCCAAACGGCTAAAACCTGAAGCCATAAGGCCCTAAACCCTGAAAGGCTTAAAGCCCTACCTGAGCCCTGAACCTTCAAAGCCCTCCAGCTTCAGCCCTCAAGGATCCGCCTTGAAGCACCGAACCCGAAACCCATTCCGAAGCCCCTGGGCTACCCATAGGCCCCATAGTAGTTCCTTATTGGGATTCCCTAATAGGATTCTAAATATGAACCCCAAAAAGGAACTACCTTAGGGCCTGTGGGTAGGCTTGAACTACGGGTAGCTTTGGCAGATGGTGACCCAAATCAGGACCCGCAAACGCATTGTCTGGCAGGACGGGCTTGTTAGAATTTCTCGGTTAGAAGTTGTTTAAGTAAGAGTTTCAACAGGACGCCTATCATATAGACCACGGACGAAGTCTCATACGGCTGCGAATCCTGCTCTCTGCTAGTGTTGTGACTTCAACTGTTACGCAGTTCAAATAAGACGGTGTTGCTACTGATGATGGTGATGGTTGCGATGATGATGATGATGACTTTGATTTATGTCCACAGCGACGCATGTTGATAATGCTCATGATGCTGCTGCTGATGGTTCATATTATTGTACAGCCACTGTTACTGCTCTGATTGGCGTTCAGTTTTCATGCCCTCTAACAGCCCGCAATACCACACGTCCTGAGATGCCGACACATCTGTGGCGTAGGGGTCCTGAAATGACGGCAAATTTGGGTATAAAGTGACTAGAGGCTTTAACGTTTCCGGACTGAAAGCCTTAAGGCTCTGAATGAGGCTTGTCTGTTTTTGGGTGCAGGGGATCAGGGCTTCAGAAAATACTATAGAGTCATGATCCAGATTGCAAGTTCTGCATTCCCAGGCATTAGGCACTCTAACTGTCCCTGGTCTTCTTGCTATGCGCTTTGTGTTGCTCTTCTGTCTAGAGCAAGGAGGTTGCAGAAAGCCGTCCGTTGTCATCGACAAACCAGATGCGACGACCGGCTGACAACGCCTTCGGATCATTTTTAGCGAACCTCGAAGCCCTTGTACCCCCAAACTGGAGTTTCACCAAATGTAGGGGACCTCAATATAAACCGTCACTAGTCTTAAGCATCAACCGCCTGAGTGAGTCACCCGAATGTTAAAAGGAGCCACCAAATCAATGCAGGAGCCAGGGAGCGATGTTCTGTGCTGGATCTGCTTCATTGTAGAGACCAAGTTGCCTCCATGCGCGGAAATTTGAAAAAACGCTGGGGACTGCTCCAACTACGGCTTGGGCTTGAAGGGTTCGAGTAAGTATTCCGAACGAACATCACGATACCGTCTCTGTCCAAAGAGTTCAAGTTTAGAAGTTTTGAGCAGCCCTACACCCCAAAGCCCAACTCCTCTCAATGAAGTTTGTAGGAAGGCTTCCTGGCATCTCCTGGCACAAACAAAATCCACAGGACAGGTGATCCTATTCACTATAGTTAGTCTGTTGTATGTGTATGTGACTGTATGTGTATACACGAACACATGAATGCATCGGAATATGTTTCGCGGAATGGTGCTAGATTCGGTCAGACTCGGTTTGGGTTTAGGTGGTGTATTGTGCGGGGACCAAACTCTGCTTCTCGGGTTTGGGGCCTTGTGCTAATGAAGATGCTACCATGCATAGAGAAGGCGTGGGCTAGCTTCGCTTGTGCCTGGAGCCATGCCACTCAAAAGGCTTTGACCCAAACGCTCAAACCACCTGAAGCCCTACAACTTACATGCTGACAGGATGCCCCGTTTTTGAACCCAGACTCTGCCAATCAGCTGGGAAGCAGCACTTCCAGACTATTGCATCACCCTAAACCATCGACCACTTAAGGAACCTTTGTATTAAATTCACGCCAACCCTTACACGGGCTCCCGGCTGGTAGTAGTCGGAGATGCCCCCATGTGTGAGCAAGTCATAGCGCCAGAAATGGCACAACTCAGACATGGGTACTGCCTCGGGCGAGGATTCATGAAAGGGCCTGTGGTGGCTCACGTCAACAGATATAATATCGTAAAACCAAATAACATACCGAGTGCTTGAGGGTTCCTTAGCGAGAAAAAATGCACTTTGCTAACTCTAATAAGTAAGCCTCAAGCTATGATCGCACAATGGAGCCCGAGGAGCAGTATGAAAACTCCAAACCCTGAATCCTGACCCAAACCCCTCAAACCCTAAACCCTGAACCGTAAAACCGTCATTTTGTGGCTTCAGAATGCAGAGCCTTAGGTCTCCTGTGGAGATGACCGGTGCTGGCACGGGAAGCTCTGTTCCAGAAAGCTTTAGGCTTTAGGCTTACGATGCTGTCTAGATATAGTTCCTTAAACACATAGATTATAAGGCCTTTTTGTCCTAGGATTGCGTACACTAGACCTGAACCCGAATCCTAAAACTAAAGCACGGTGACCATGCACACCTAGTACAAGACGTATCCTCCTGCAGGCTAAAGCTAGCAAGTATTGAGGCTCCAATATTCTACCCTGAAGCTGCGAATTAGACGGAATGTATCGCAGAGCCCAAATTCCAGCTCCACCTAAAGCGTGCAAACATATGTCTGAAGAATTGCAACGCCCTGAATCGCAAACCTACTACAGGATCTAGGGTTAGGAGCCCTAAAACCCCTATATACATGGTTTGGGTTTGGGGCTTGCGAGTTTCGACAACCAAAGCTTGTCCTTGAGAGTCCACGACATCCAGAGCTGTGGGGTGTAAAAATGACTGCTTATTCAACCCTAAACCTAAAACCCTAAGCCTAAAACCCTAAAACCCTAGACAAATCATATTTTGGGCATTTAAAGTTCAGGCTTGCGGGGCTTGGGGTTAAAGGCTCTAAGGGTGGATCGGCCTCGGGAGGGCTTGGGGTATACGGCGAGAACTAGGGGCCGGACATCTCTAAATAGGAATCGGTTTAGGGTTTAGGGTTTAGGGTTGATATTCCACAGTTTTAATTGTAAAGGGGGAGCTCGCAGTCACGGCAGTACTCAGTATTCAGGCTTCTATATTAAAGTGTAAACCCTTTGGCTTTTGTTGGGACTGTGTGCTGTCTGGCGAGTGCAGGGTTGGGCTGCAGGCACACACACACACATATACATAAACACACACTTTCCAGCAAAAGGAGGTTAGCCTAAGGTCACGAAGCCTACCGGCACTAAATTCCCAAATCCGCAATCACCGACACCACGCTTTAAATCTTTAGCCACGAAGCTGTCAACCTCAAGCCGGCTCTCCTGCAGCATTAGAGTTTAGGGCGTAATTAGGGGGCTTCTCCATAAATCCTGAGCCTGCCCCGCCTACACCGTCCCGAAATTCTAGCAGCCTCCTAAACCCTACGCGTACGCCTCAGGCCCCTCAAATCCTCAACTTGCTCCTTGAACCACCGTAGACTGGGCTGCTGGCCACTACAAGCAAGCCTCCGGCAAAGAGCAGCCCGAAACACAGGGCGCAAAAGCTGCAAAACCTCATCGATGTTATTTTCTTTCGGGGTTCGGGCTTAGGGTAAAAGAAGGCTTTGGCTCTTTCGGTTTATGGCTTGGCTTCTTTGTTCTGGGTCCAGAGTGCAGATTTGAGACTTTGTTTTTGGAGGTTCGAGGAGTACAGGAAGTTAAGTCACCTTTACCCTAAACCCCAAACCCTAAACCCAAGCGGGGATTGACGTGAGCCTTTCGAGTTTGGGATTTACGGGGGAGGGAGATGCTGCCTTTTGGGGCTGGGACTCTTGGTTTGATTTAAGGTGTCGGTGTCCGATGAAACTTGTGGCACTGCGGTTCGTGGCTTAGAGCTGTCAGGATTAAGGTTTGTGGGCTTTGTGCAAGTTAAACTTTGATTATCGGGTAAAGAAGACCAGCTGAAGAACATCGCATACTACTGAAGCGTTCGGAGCTAGTCTAGCAGGTGCGGTACGAGCTGATATCCTGAACCTCGAAGCAGAACTCCTCAAACCTTTTTCGTACGGATCAACCCCAGCTCGCTGAGCTAAGTCTCTCTGCCCTGAACCCCTCCGCTTCATACATCGGCACCCTCGAATGCACCGGGGAGCCATGAGGCACAGGAGGGCGATGCGCTCGGGTAGGTCGCCTTGGATCTCCGGGCATAGACGATCGTCCCAGGGTTCACCTTTTCGGCGCTCGGCTGCCGGGGGCTCACGACTGGGCTTCTGGGCTGTGACTGAAGATTGCAGCTTTTGCATCCAGCCTGCAAGAGCCTCTGCTGGGAACCTAACGAGGGCTTTGCTCTAATTCTTGCAGCTACAAGCTAGAACCTGGCTCAGATTGCCGCCACTACGACACATTCCAGACCTCTGTGCAAAAGCGGTGGGCTTCTCGATATTCCAACGTTCGTTTCAGCAGGTTTCAGCAGCAATGGCTTGCTGGGTGCGCACTCACGACACAAAGAAGCAACAAAGAGCCTGAGTAGAGGGAGCCCGGGGCTCAGGTGGTGAGAATCTACAACCTCAAAACCGGAAAATTCCGATTCAAGGCTTCTTCATACCCTTTAACCATTTGGCAGAAATACTTAAGCATAGTTCCAATTATTTCGGCACAGAAGCCCAACCCCTGAACACATAAACCTCAAGAAGCCCTAAACCCTAAACCCTAAACCCCTAAACCCCTAAAGCCCTAAATCCTACACCACTATTAACCCTAAAAAGCCCTCGGGCCGAAACAAGCAACATCGACCTCACCTCGCAACAACCGAAGCAAAGCACACACGAGGAGAGACTGAGGCTTTAGTGGGGTCTCGGTAATTGGAATAAGCTTTTGGGGTCCTAATCATGTCGGGACTGCAAATTAGGGTTTAGGGTTTAGGGTTTCAAACGGGTTAAGTGTATCTTAATGTGATTCGTCGACCCTTTTTGCAAGCTAACCAGAACTTCTGTTCTTGAACTTCCACCTTCCTTACCAACTCCCTTAATCACTCCTGAAACCGTGAGCTTTACAAACCCTGAAAAGGGCCCCAACTAATTGGGGCCCCTACAGCCTAAACGTCAACTTTTCGAAACCTGGGCCCCTGGCCAGCAGGACGAGAACTGCGGTGAAGCCAGACAAGGCCAGGAAGGCGGTGTGCCGGGCGTCCTCAAACTGCTGTGGGTTTCGGGCTGAAGGTTCAGGGTTAACGACTTACATAGGCTTAGGGAAGGGTCTAACAGTCTATATAAGGTGTAGGAGTTGGGCTTTAGGTATTCTTAGGTTCCGAGCCTCGGTGTGTCATGTGACCGTGATTCATGGTCGTGCTGTCGTGCTTACGGCACCAAACATCACCATAATCATCATCATCAGCAGCAGCATCATCATCGTCATCAGCAGCATCATCATCAACATCAGCATCATCATCGTCATCATCATCATCATCATGACCACCATCCTCATCCTCACCATGGTCAAAGTCGCCCGCCATCATGACCATCAGCATCAGCACCATTATCGTCATCACCATCATCATCATCACCACCACGCATACTAGCTTCCGCACCATCACTATCACCATCACCATAAACACCCCTGCCGCCATTATCACTGTCATCATGATACGGATATCCAATCGCCGGGGTCATCGTGTTCAAGTCCCCAGCATCATGAACATTGGGCAGCCTTATCCTGCACTTGAGACGGAATTACTCGTACAACTAACATCTGAAGGCTTGCTACTCCACTACTCAACTAACTACTACACAACTGTACTACAAGATCGCGACGTTTGACCATACCAAGTTATTACTGTCCTGCTACAATACTGACTATGAGACTGTACAGCCATATACTATACTATTTACTATATATAACACACAACAACTAGTTTGACGACGACCACGACGACTACTACTGCTGTTACTCCTACTCCTAAATCCTCTTCCTCCTCCTGCTCCTCCCCCCCCTCCTCCTCCTCCTCCAGCTGCTCCGACTGTTGCTGCTGCTGCTGCTGCTTTAGTTTACAGGCTGCGTCCTCAACGGTCTGCAGGGTGTAGCGCTGTCCCAGAAACATCTCGACCTCCAGCTAGCGATGGGCGTGATGAAAGAAAGGCCTAGAGACGTATACGTGTATGTGCACTTTGCATGTCTCCGAATGTGTCTGTGAAAGACCTGGTCAAGAGCTGCTCACATGTCGAGCTCATCAAACCCTGCCATGAAAGGGCAAGCTGGAAAATCTCTGAATTTAGAGCAAGACTTGAAGAAGATGCCTGCAACAGGTCATGACGTCTGCCATCTTTGCAGCCCTCACATGCATCTGAAAAGCCTTTGCCCCAAACACTTGTGCCAACAATCCACATCGTCATATGCACCCCGACAAAGCAGACCATTACCTCTACCTCTACCCCGCTGAAAGCCGCATAAGGGTTCTCAAGGCTTCGCACCACGGGCAGAAGGCAGGTGGAGCTCAGGCTGGAGGAGCTTAGGGGCTCAGGACTTTGAGATTTGGTCGCAGAGGCCCCATATAGTTCCTTTTTGGCTTTCCCAAATAGGATTCTAAATATGAACTCCAAAAAGGAACTACTTTAGGGCCTATGGGTAAGGGTTTAGGGTTTAGGGTTTGACCGGCTCGTCACCTTCTCCAACCTGCTGGCATTTACACAATATTCTCGTGGCTTGGAACGAGAACCTTGTAAATACCAGCACTTTGGACAAGGCGCCAAGCGACATGCATCCTAGGGCGCTAGGCCAGGGGTTTAGCGCTTGGGCTCCAGGGGCTGAAGTGCCGATGTTGAAGAAACCGAGGTAAACAAAAAACCAAGACAAGGCTAGCTCCTAGGAAAACTGTGCGGCTGAATACGCGCGCGTGCGTGTGTGTGCTTTGGGGTTTGGAGCCCGGAACAGGATCTTGGTGTCCAGGAACTCAGTGTTCAGGGGTCTTGAGATTCATGATCTTGGTGCTCAGGAGTTTCGGTGGCTTGAGACTCTAATGTCTAGAAGTGCTCTTGACTTGAGACCCGAGATGCCTCAACCCTCGTGTGTATACCCATAGGCCCCATAGTAGTTCCTGTTTGGGGTTCATATATAGAATCCTATAAGGTAATCCCCAAAAGGAACTACCATGGGGCCTATCTTTGCGACAGGCTTCTTGCTTCGCCGCCCTGTCTTGTGCGATTTCACTGAGCTAAGCTCGAGCAAAACCAACCCTGGAGACTCTGTACCCTAAACCCAAAGCCCGAAACCTTAGACAGATCCTAAACCCTAAACCTTCTAATACACAAGCCCCTAAACCCCGAAACCCTGTACCCCCTAAAGCCCCAGACCTTAAACACAAGCCCCTATAAACCCCTAAACGCCTCAAACCCGGAAACACTCCACCCCGCTGAGGGGGCTACGAAGCTTCCCGCGGTGGCCTGCTTGAAGACCTGCAAAAAAGGGGTCCAACAAAAAAGGGCTTAGGGTTAGGGTTTAGGGCTTAGGGTTTAGATTTTAGGGTTTAGGGTTTCTATCACAGGGTCCCTTTCAAAGGGGCTCTCAGGGGCTTTGCCGGTATAATAAACAGGGTTTATTGATACGGTCTTGATATGGAAACGTTAAGGATTATTGCCTAAAACATGACCTTGAGAGGCTTAAGTCATGCAAGATGGCGTGATTCCGCGGTCACCAGTAAGAGTGACCCAGAAGCCTCCACAACTTCTACGACAGCCGGATCGATGCATCTGCGCTCCGTCGCTACGCTTCAGTCTTGCAGGGGATTCTAGCTCCCTACCCATAGGCTCCATTGTAGTTCCTTCTTGTGCTTCTATCTCGGATACTATACGGTAGTCCCAAAAAAGGAACTACAATGGAGCCTACGGGTAAAGCCTAAGTCCTCAAGTCATCTCAATCAGCATCGTTGCGCTTCTCGGTCCTATCGTTTCCTAAAAGGGACCTAAGTACCCATCTAGGGGATACTTGCCCAAACCGTAATTGTTTTTTCCTACTGCGGGAACCTCATTTTCTACTATGTAGGTACTTCTAGGACCCTTTGGGTTTGTTGGGTCCTACAACCCCAAGTGCTTGTGACCCGAAAACCAGGCTGCCTATGCAGGGCTCAGGGCGTAGGGTTGAAGTTCAGGGTTTGGGGTCTACGTCCCCTCAACCCTTTTGTTGCGGGGCCCTAAACCCTAAACTTAGACTCTTTTGGGCAGAAGTTCTGGGTTTCGTGGGTCTAGTACTGTTTGAGTTTAGGGTTGGCCGCCTGGCGCCTGGCACTTCCCAAGCCCCTACACCCTGAAAGAGTATCGGCTTATAGGGCTTAGGGTAAACCCTTTAGGGCTTAAACTTATAGGGCTTAGGGTATCTAAGCCCTAAACCCTTTAGGGCTTATGGGGTTTAGGGTCCCTAAACCCCGTAACCTCCAACAACGGTGCCTCTAAGGCGTTTCGGCCACGCCCAGCAGCCGAAGCGACATCTGCCAACCGCTGTCCGGTGAGAGTGGCCTCGGAGCTGAAAAATGTTCAGATCTATAGTGCTTGAGGTTTAACGTTTAGGGTTCAGGCTTAAGGGTTAGGGCTTAAGGTTTGATGTTTAGGGTTCAGGCTTAAGAAGTAGGGCTTAAGGTTTAATGTTTAGGGGTCAGGGTTAAGATCTAGGGCTTAAGGCTTAATGTTTAGGGTTCAGGGTTAAGAAGTAGGGCTTAAGGTTTCGGGACTTTTTAAAATGCTTATAATGTTGTTGGCGGGATGTGGGACGTTTGCTGCGATGTCATGGTTTTGCAGCTGGATCTCGAGGAATCAAGAAGGAGCTTAAGCTACTGCCTTGCCTGCTTACCTCGGACCATGACTCAGTGTTTTAATTTAATGTAGGAGCCCTAATCGCTAGGACAGGGTTTCGGGGTATTATTACACAAATCAGGAACCCCCAAAATATTGTAGGTACTTATCTATAGGCTCCTACATTGCTTGAGTTTCTGTCGGAAGAGAGTCGGACATTCTTCAGCTTTCTACGATCCTCAACTGTAAAAATGCCCAAAGCCCTACACCTTGCACTGCGACTCCCCGATGGTGACACGGCAAAGGCAAACGACAGAAGATGCTGGGCTCCAGAATCGACTAGAACCCCGCCCTAAACCCTAAACCCTAAACCCTAAACCTGGTCTCTGAGTACCGCTAGACCCCTAGCCCTTCTCCCGAAGTTGGCATCTAGTCGCCGAAGTCGTCTCCCGGATCGACTGCATCGCATCCGCCGATGAGGTCCGCAGCGCCAATTTCCTGGAGTTTCTGGAGCCTACGAATCCTAAGTCGTGGGGTGCGCAAGGTTTCGGTTGCTCCGGACAAGGTTGAGAGCTTGCTGCCCACGTCTCACCCCAAGCTATAAAGCCTAATACAGTATAGGGGCCAGAGAATTACGGATACTGTTCTTAAAAGGGCCCTACTCTTGCCAACAGGGCCCCTATGTTATCCCATCTTAACCCAGAGTTCCCTCGCCCCTGGGCCCAAGCATGCCTACTTTGGGGCTTAGGATTTAGGGGGTTGCGGTTTAGGTGCTTAGGCAAGCTTAGGGCCTATGCAGTGCTCTTGATGCTTCGATTAGAGCTGTTTCGGGGGGGTATCTTACACTATGAGACTATGTAGTTATGTCGGGGCTAACACGGGAATTCAGTTATGTACTTCATCATTCACACTTAGGGTGCGTAAGCAGGTTTCTTCTGTGAGAAAACAAGGCCGAAATGTGGGTCTCTCGGCCCTCACTCGACTTTCCGGTGGAGCTCCAAACTAACGCTGAAACCCAACAGCGATGCCCATGACAATGCTTAGGGCTTAGGCTTTAGCGTTCAGGCTCTAGGTTGACGGAGTTCAGAGGAGCAGAACCTCCATGGCCAGCATCATGAGGCTGAAGTTTGGATTGGGTTTTTACCTTGTCAGTCGCAGCCCTATTTGTCCAGCCCCCTACGGTTTGCATGCCCCAAAAGAGTTACTGGAAAGTGTACTTCGTCTTCACTAGGCAGCTCCAAACTCGAAACGTGTCTCAGAGTCTAAGCCATACCCATAGGCCCCATAGTCGTTCCTTTTCTAGGATTACCTTATAGGCTTCTATATATGAACCCCAAAAAGGAGCTACTTTAGGGCCTATGAGTAGATCCTAAACACTGACACTGAGACCCTAAGCCGCAGAAAGCCCCCAAACCAGTGCCGACGCGGAGTCAGCTCATTCAACAGCCCCTCTTCGCCAGTCGAATTGCTACCTGTCAGGTCGCCATGGCAGTTACGTGCTGGCTGTGGGGCTGTGTGAGGGTCGAAACTTAAGGGGTGATAAGGATTTTCCAGCGGCTCTGTAAGGCTTCGATCAATTCTACGCACTATCGGGATGATGAAGAGACACACTACAGGGTTTAGGGTTTAGGAGTTTTGGGGTTTAGGGTTTTAGTGGTTTAGGGGTTTAGGGTTTTAGGGTTTAGGGGTTTTGGGTTTAGGGGTTTAAGGTTTAGGGTTTAGGGTGCACCATGGACCTCCAGTCCCGTCCCTTCCTTGCCTAAACCTCAAAATTCCGGGACCCTGGACTGCCAAAACATGAAACTCTTTGTGGCTTCGGGATGCTTTAACGGTTTGGGGCTCAGGGTTTCAGCTGCAAGCTAAGCTTCAGCTTGAAACACCCATGCCCGACATCCTAGAACCCTTTCACCCAGATATGGCTAAACCAAGACTTATTCTTTCAACAATCCTCGATGACAGTTAGTCTTAAAGGCCCTAGCATTCGAATCATCCCTTTCTTTTGCGGAGAAGGGGCAAGCAATCAGAGTTCTATACATATTACATATATATATATACATACATATACGGAGAAGGGGCAAGCAATCAGAGTTCTTATACATATTATATATATATATATATACATACATATACGGAGAAGGGGCAAGTAATCAAGGCTCTACATTCACAAGCCGGAGCCCCCCCGAAACCAGGACTCGCTCATTGAACAAACCAACCTTCCGAACACTGATCCGACCTCCGTTGTTGTCGCATCCCCTTTTGCTGGGACCCTTTCCCGGAGCCCGACGCCCTAAAGCCGATACCAAACTACACTCCGGACACCTGAGGCTCACTGTCGAGCAGATGGTGTTTGGGGCCGATGCTTCGTCGCTGAAAACTCGGAAGCCCTCGAACTTTTTCCGCCCAATCCCCTAAATCCTAAAGCCCTTGCCCCGACCGGCCTATGGCGCGGATGCAGAACCAACAAGTGTGTTCCTGGTCGCCGGGGGCTAGGCTTCTTGAAAAGCTCTGGTACGGTTTGTAGTGACTTAGCCCTAAGCTTGCGTATTGGGTCCGCACTGGGCCCCAAACCCTAAACCCCAAACCCTAAACCGTGAATCCTACAAAACTAAACCTTGGCTTTATACTTCAAACCCATAAACCCTTAACCACTAAAGGGTTCTCAGTTCCATGTGAGGCTACGACAACTTCCGGGCAGGCCGTGATGAAGTCGAGCCGGGAGTCAAGTTAGCAGGAGTCTTAGGGTTTAGAGGTTCGGGGTTTCGGGGTTTCGTTACTAGAGGTTTAGGGCTTGTGGTTTTAGGGTTTCGGAGTTCAGAGGTTCAGGGGTTCAGGGGTTTAGGGTTTAGAGGTTCGGGGTTGACGAACTCACAACTCGGAGTGGCCAGGCGAGGATCCATGGGTTCGGGTCGGGTGTGATACGATCGCTGAGAGTCAGTAGGGGTATTTTTGGTTTAGAAGCTAGGGGTTTAGGGGTTGTGGTTTTGTAAGTTAGGGCTTCGGGGTTGACGGAGTCTTTGTTCAGCCGTTGTTGGGTTTAGGGGGGTTTATGGGCTAGTGGAGTCTTCCTAAGGGTCCTGAGCGAGCATCGCGTCTTTACTGTTAGGGTCTTCCGACGATTCCAGCTGTTTCGGGTTTAGGGTTCTACGGACCCTGCCCAACAGAATAGCGGTTTGGTACAAACCCTAAACACTGAAATACGAAGGTTGCATGGCACTGATCGCTGTGGGGGAGAGAAGCTCGGCTTTGAGGTTGGAGGCTAAGGCCTCCCGTGCGCTGGGAAAGCCATCTGTTGCTAGGGTCCTTCTATGCAAATCAAACGGTTTAAACATGGAACTTACAGGAAGCCTTGAAACAAAGAGCTCTGTAGCTTAAATGAAGTGGCTGAACTTCCTGAGCTGCGCTACGCCGAGAAATCCAGGGTTTAAGGTTCCTTTCCTTAGTACGGAGGAAGAAACAACAAGCTCGAAGCGGCAAAGCAGTAAATCGTCTTTGCCAAGGTGAGAAGCCCCTAAACCCTAAACCCTAAACCGCCTAAGCCTAAGCCGGAATCTTGCCTGCACCAGCCGAACTGTACCAGAGCTACTCCGAGTTTCCCTCAGCTCCGACGCAAGTCCGAAGCCCTACCTTAACCTACCAAAGCCTACTTTTTCTAGGGTCCCTATAAATTTTAAATTCCATATTAGGGTTGATAATAGGAACCTACAAACAAGTAGGTTTTGATAGGTTAAGTAGAAATGAGCAGAGTCCAAACTTTAAGACTTTGCGGGCGACATCCTCTTCCTGGTGTCCGGTTGAACAGCCCTCCCACTGTGTATCTCTGCCGTTGCACCCAGTGCTCTATAGTAAAATTTATCAAAACCCACTAAGAACATGTTAAAACCATCCCGCGTGGGCACATACCTCGTATTCGTAATGCTCTACGCTGAAGATAGACCTGACCTTCTGGAGCCTTCCCCAACCCTAAACCCTAAACCCTAAACCCTAAACCCTAAACCCTAAACCGAGGCCTATGTTACGGAAGCATCGGCAACCGAGTTCAGGCCTCGGGGTCTTGCCAGTAAGGCTCAGGCCAGGGGGTCCAAGAGGATGAATAGTAAAACCACTTTGCCAAGAAAGTTAGGATTTTTTAGGGTTTAGGGTTTAGGGAACCATTTTGCGTTTTAGGATTTAGGGTTTGGGCGAAAATGGCCTCATAAACCCTAAATGCCTGAGCCTGCGTCCGCACTTTCTCCACACAAGGTCCTCTTAACGAACAGCACTACCTGTACATCCAAACTGGATCTGAGAATGATTCTGGGCTTGGGGGTTAGGGTGTTGTGGCAGCAGAATCAATCCAAGCTGCAGGGTGTATGTAGGGCTTAGGGTTTAGGGCTCCAGAGTATATATATATATATATATACACATACATATATATATATATATATATAGGGCTTTGGGAAATGATTCATCTGCGGCCCACTGCTAGACACGACGGGTACCGCCATCTGCGGTCCGCTGTGAAGCACTACCGCCAGGCATCTTGGACAGCTGCAGCACCGCTCAAGTCGGGCAGTTTAGCTTTCACCCTCCAATAACTGCCATCGAGGCTCACTGTACCTCAACCTACCAAAACCTACTTTTTTGTAGGGTCCCTAGAAATTTCGATATTCGGGTTTATCATAAGAGCCTACAAGAAAGGCAGGTTTTGGTAGGTTAAAGTAAGGATTGCTACACGTCCTTGCAGGCTGAAGAGAAACTCCCATAGCTCCAAAACGACAAGGTTCAGTCTGGTGGAATCCAGTTCTCCTGGCTCCAGTTTTAGGGAGGCACAGGGCGTTTAGGGTTTCACTATAATTTAAATTATATAGGATTTAGGGGTTCAGGGTTCAATCGAGGGTTTCAGCACTCACACTCGGACTTGCCCCGGGAGGGTGGAGGGCTTTACGGGTTTGGGGGCTTAGGGATGGCGATAAGAAGCACTAAATACGGCAGCATCAACCACCGTGCCAAAAGCTTGCTTGGGCATGACTGCCAATCTTACGTAGATCTGGCGATATAACCTAGCTACCATTCCCACATTCCCAAGAAGCTTCTCTAGACACTCTGACCAAGTAGTAACTTCTTTCAGTAGCATGGCTTCAATGAAGCCTTCCTGTCGCAGATGGGCTCGCGGCAAACATGCAGCAATGCAATGGTAAAAAGCCGGAAGCAGGCATGGCGTGCCGCGGGAAAGCTGCTCCCGATTCGTGACAGGTCTAGAAGACATGCAGCATGCTGAAACAACACAGGCCCCTGCCAGCTGCTTTCCGGAACAGCCACTTACGGGCTGTTGGGCGAACACACCTCAAAAAACCGGTCAAACCTCGGATGAGCCCACCATCTACCCGGGGGCCAGCCGAGTGCTTGATACACTTACCCATAGGCCCTAAAGTAGTTCCTTTTGGGGATTCCCTAATAATAGGATTCTAAATATGAACCCCAGACATCCTGAATCCGCATCAGGGGTCGGGGGGTCCGCCCCCGCAACTTCTAAGTTGTTTGGGAGGGGGGGTCTAAGTAACAATACAGTAGTACAAAAGCCGTACAGAGTAGTAAAGTAGTACAGTAGTAGTACAGTAGTAGTACAATTGGAGTACAGCAGCAGTACAGTAGTAGTACAGTAGTCACTAAGTCCCTATGCCTTACGTCTGGCTGGCTAGCTATCTCTCCTCTCTATGTCTCCCTCTTGCCTGTCTCTGTCTCTCCTCTTCAAGGGCGTCAGCTTGTACGTAGCAGCAGTGTGTGTTTCCCGGAAGCTGAAAAATAGAAGCAGGACGGGAATTTAGGACTATTGAGGTGTAGTTTACTATTGTGCGTAGGCCGTGTTTAGATTAATTGAGGGGACCACTGCGAATCACGAGCTCAGATTAAGACGTTTGAGCGGAAAGGCTTCTGCAGTTCCGCGCCATCCTTGCTTCTTGGGTGGTCTGAGGATTGAGGGTTCAGGGTTGACGGATCTCAACTGGCTCCCATGGTGGGCCTGCGCAAAGTGCGGAGCTCCAGTCACTTCCTATCAAGACTGACCGGCGGCTTCCCTCCAGCACGCACGTGCACAAGCTGGCCGGGGATTTCTAGCACTGTAGGGTTTAGGCTTTAGGGTTTAGACATAGGGTTTAGGGCTTATAGGGTTTAGGGTCCTTTGTTGGCGGAGAAGGTCTTCGTTTGCTTGCTTCATGCACGGCCTAGGCTACACTTTCTGCCGCCTGCCTGCGAACTGTGCCCCACCACAGGAAACACAGCTCGACGACCTGTAAAACGGCAGTGTGCAGCCGCCGAAAGCTTACAAGCCCGCGTGCCCGAGCTGGAGATTAAGTGGAATCAGGTTAAGGGAAGTGTTTACAATTCCAGGATCATATGCATGAATGATTAGTGAGCAATGTAGGGGTGCGATGATTCCGAACAGGGTTCTGGGGTCTATTCTACTACAAGTATTTTGAGAAGGAGCCCCGAGGCATAATGTTATGAATTGTTCAAGCTTCTATAGTAGCTGGATCAGAGCTGACATCTTAACGTAATCAGGGCACTGTAGCACGTGATTGGCGGGTGGCTCTCGGACACGACGGTCAGGATGCATACTCATAAAATGAACGAATCACTGGGAAGTACTCCCCTCAAGCCTAAACTCTCGCCCCTGAACTCCATCCCTACGGCCTGTACTCGGATTGGGAGGTTCAAGATTTTCAGACTGCTGGTTCTGTCGGGCTTTTTCGCTGTACATAGGCACGCTAAGCTGAAACCCCTAGCCCTAGACCATAAACTATGCCAGCGTAGACCCCCAAGCAACGAAAGAAACAGCACCACGACGACCATGACGATATCGACAGCCACAGCGACCACCACCACCACGACCACGACAACAAGGAGACCACGAAACCACGAGGGGAGTACCCCAAAAAATGACAGGAGGCTACGAGGAGACCCAGAGGAAGCCAAGTACTGGCGGATTCAACACCACGATCAGAAGGCCTTCCCTCAGCTACTCGCGGGATTCAAGACGATTTAGGACCACAGCCTCGGAGCACGGTGCTTATGTGTGCCCCCATATATACCTGTGGGATTCAGAAGGGCGGCCAAGACACTTTCCCCAAATACTAATAATAAATTCTAGGAGCGCTTTTTCTGCGCTCGCCATGAGGACCCAAAACACAGGGGCCGGCAAATTGGACTACGTTCCGGGGCTACATGCAGCGGCTATAAGCTGGCATCACTGCCAACTATTGCGAAGCTTGCATGACCCAAACTCTTAACCTTAAAGCCCTCTCGAAGCCATAAAGCCCTCATACCACTCGTTGTGGCTTCGGGGATGCCCCTCCCAGAGTGGTTGTCTTGGGTTTCCCTCCAGGGATCGCAGGTACAACCTCTGACCATGAGTGTAAGATTTTGGGGTTAAGGGTGTCAGGGTTCGAGTAATGCGGTTTAGGATGTCGGGTTTTGGTGTTGATTATGTAGACGGA